TGACGTGGCTGATGTGGCCCTGACACCCCAGAGCAGCGTTCTCTCCCCCAGATCCTCCTGGGGTGCTGTGGGATCTGCAGGCTGGGGTGAGTCTGCAGGGAGGGGTCAGCTGGGCGGAGAGCAGCAGCCTGCCTCCCGTGGGGCGGCTCCACGTTCAAGCCCTGCTCACAGCAGCCCTTGTCCCCAGGGGCTGGCAGAAAAAAGTGCAGGGAATCGTGATTCATCACATTCCATGAGGGAGGATTTTTGTGAAGGAATTTTCTCACGCGCCTTTCCGAGCTGGGGTATCACAAAAACTTTATGCAGCTGTTGTAGGTCAGATGAAACTTCAGTCTGAATGTTTACCCACGTGGGAGGCTCATTCATTGTTTTCATTATCTAGAAAATATTGCGTCTTAAAAAAAGGTTTCTCTTGAAATAGACTGCTGCCCGGTCTTCAGGAGCTACGAGGTGATCCTGGGGGTCCCCAGACTTCTCAGCTTGGTCACTGCCGAGATCTCCCCAAGGAGCAAGCATGCTGTGGAGGTGCCTGTGATGTGCTTGGTGCTGAGGCCCTGTCCACGCCTGGGAGCCGGGGTGCACGTCAGGGCCCTGTGACCCCCCAAGTGGCCTGGCCAGGGCACCTCCTGTCTGCTCTATGTCAGGTGTGCAACACCCCCAGATCCTAGAGGGAGGACCCTGCCCTCGGTCACCGGAGGGCGTTGGAGCCCGTTCTCGAGAGCCTGTTTCCAGGAAGCCGCCCACTGGCTCCCTGAGTGGACGTGACCTCAACCCGCCTGATGCCGTGGTGTGTGGCCTCACGCTCTGGGCTTCCCAGCTGTCCTGCCTCGCTGTCCCGGCCTGTCGGGCCGTGGGGGAGCGGCCAGGCCTCAGTTCTCTGTGCTCCTAGGCTGCGGTGGGCAGGGTAGGGCGGATGTTCGTGGGAGGGCTGGAGGCGGCCGGGGCTGGGCCTGGGAGAACATGGGGACCAAGCGGCTCTGGTCTGCTTGTCTGCTGACTGGAGACAGAGGGTTGAGGGATGAGTTGTGACATGTCTGTCCAGCCAGCAGCTCTTGCTTCTGAGCATCTGTTCTAGATGAGGCCTGGAGTGGGCTCTGGGGGTGCAGAGGTGAGATCAGCAGGGTCGCCTTCCCGGGCACCCCTTGTGCTAGAGGGCACGGTACCCTGTTTGGGAGCTTGGGCGAAGGAGGAGGGACTGTTGGGTGAATGGAGGCTGAGCAGGGCTCTCGGGGGAAGAGGGGCCTGCTAGGTGGGCCAGGTGGGGCCGGGCATGGTCGGGGGCCAGCATTGGCACAACTGGGGAGGCAGGCCTGGAGAAGACACCAGTTCTGAAAAAGAAGCCGTCCCCCCGCCCCCTGGAGTGGGGACATCAGAAAATTAATCCCAGACCTGCAGAGTCCAGAGTCTGGAGAAGCCCATTTGTCACAGTCATAAGAGAGGCCAGTCCAGCTTCTCAGGCTTCCAGTTTTCCCTGGTGGCCGCGGTTTCCCCAAGGCCTGCAGGATCGAGCGCCCAGGCTGATCAGTGTTCTGGGGAACAGCGCATGGCCGCCCTGGGCCGCCCCGGGCCGCCCGACAGCGGTGGCCGCAGGGTCCGGGACGGTGTCCCCACCATGTCGCTCCTCAATGCCCGACCCAGCTCGGCTGGAGGAGCAAAAATCATTTTCATCCAAACATATTTGAGGAGCACATCCGTTTTGCTAAGTGAGACACACTTGCATTGGTAAGTGTGCAACAGGGATTTCTGAATGGGACGAGCCCAGAGATAATGGCCGCCATTAGGGCTGGAAGCCGGAAATCTTAGATGCTGCTTCGTTTCACATTAAAGAATGCGAGCAGCGCACCCGTCAGTGCTTCGGGGCCGTATCTTCCCGACGACTTTAGTTTTAGTTTAAAAATGTTCTCCTTTCTAGGGGAAGGTGGCTTATAACTCTGTAACTAAGCTGAGGGGCGCTTCAAGGTGGGCTTTGACTCCTCCGTGCCGGAGAGGCGAGTCTGGGAGGCCTCGAGCCCTTCCTCTCTGCTCCTGCTATGAAATCGAATTAGCCTCAGCCGCCGTGTACAGGTGCCGGGCGGGGAGGCCTGCCGGGTGCTGCGGCATGATACCAGGCAAGGAAGCGAGGCAGCAGAGGGTGCTCAGTTCTGGCTGTGTGTTGGGGTCCCCGGGGGCCTCCCATCCCCCCTGTGGCCTGAGCACCCCTGGTGGGGAGCGAGCTGGGGACTGGATGCTCTGCTGAGAGACGGCTCCCATCAGCAGCGCAGCTCTTCCTGATCCTTCCCGAGCCTTCCCACCCAACCTGCTGCCTGGCTGGAGGTCTCCAGCCTTGGCAACATCACCCTTTTGGATTTGTGCCCAGGCCTATGGGGTGCTGGCCTCAGCCACTTTCCCTGGCACAGGGGTTGCCGAGTTTCATCCAGGCCTCGATGGCAACGAGCACCCATGCCCGGGAGGACCGTGTCTTCAGATTTAGAGGCTCTGGGAGCTCTAAGAAACCCAGCTCCTGGGGCCCTGGGAAGAGTTGTCTAGAAACAGATGAACCCACTGGGCGTTGGGAGGAAATTCCTTGATGTGGACGTGACTCCTCAGTGCATGGCCTGGCCTGGATGTTGGCCTCCACAGCCCTGCAGGTGTGGGCCAGTTGGGAAGGGAATGGGCCCTGAGGCTGTAGGTGCTCAGGGGAGAGGCAGGTGCTCTCTCACCACCTGGGGAACCTGCCCTCCTCTCTGGACGGGGCACCTCCAGTCCCAGCCTCCGCCCTCAGAAGTGAGGTCTGATGACCAGACAGTGTCAGGACTGGAGGGACTTTCAGATAAGCGGGTGCTCCCCGCGGCTGGTAGATGAAGAGGCTGGAGCTCGGAGAGGTCAGCGGCTGTGAGGGGCAGTGCCAAATTCCGGGGCTCCCCTGCCTTTATTTTCTACACTGTACATACCTACATGTGGAAAGCCAAAGTGAATTTCATTTTGAAATACGCAGCTCCATGAAGGGGTGCTGTCCTGTGTAGACCCCCGAGCATGAGCCTGCCTGACGTGCCACGCTCTGCATCACCGCCTTTGCTGGTGGCTGCGTGAAGCTTTGCTGCCTGGCGGTCTGCAAGGAGGACGCCCGCTGAATCAGGCTTTCCTGATACGAGCTCAGCACTGCGGCTTTACAGAGCCTGCCCTGCCCATCCCCGGGAGCCGTCCATGGGGGGCAGGAAGACCCTCAAACTCTGATCTCTGTCCCCCAACCCAGTGTGACAGCCCAAGTAGGTTGTGGCCAGGGCCAGCGAGTGAGCTGTGGCCCAGGACAGCCTGCTTTGACTGGTCCCGCGTGACCGACGCCATAGGCATGAGGCCCAGATGCTTGGCTCCTGTGTGCAGCTTCTCCCGGCCCTCCGCTGTCTGGACACCCTCGCCCGGGGACTGCTGTGTCTGGATCCTGCGGGGACTCTGACGGGGGTGCCTGCCACTGCTCAGAGCACACTCAGGGTGCAGCTTCCTGCCCCATGGGAAGGCGGCTTCTATCCAGACGGGTTGAGGTGGCGGGATCTGTGTCACATGCTCCGACGCGGCAGTTCTTTGGGCTCTCAGGTGGCCTGAGTCCTTGCTGATGCCCACAGCTCAGGCAGAATGGGCTCTCACCCCCCGACAGAGGGACAGAAGATGTTCAGGGACTTTTTGAAGTCTGACTTTCCCCAGGAACGGGAAGGTGATGGGCTGCCCAGGCCCAAGAGCAATGGGTCGTCAGCTGCTGGAACCAGCCTCAAGTTCTGGTGACTTGAGGACACACCTCACTCATGAATTCACTCCTCAGCGTCCTCTGATGGGCGTCCCCAGTGGGTCACTGGTGACCAAGGAGAGATGCCCCACCTCGGGGGTTGCTGGGCCCTCGGGTCAGCGCCGATGGCCCTGGTGAAACACAGAGGCGTTCCGAGGGGGTAACCAAGAGTAACTGGAAAAGTAATAGCAGACATGACCTCTTATTGCCCATCGCATCTTGTTACAAAGTCTAAAGCCGACTTGGCTGTGTTATACTCCATTATACCCCCCTGGGCCCTTCCCATAGGGCCAGATACTAAGAATTCCTGCTCCCTTCCAGCATCTCTGCTCCAGACTTGTCCGAGAAACCACACTCTGCAGAGGAAGGCTCCGTCCTGCCCCGGCAGGTCCTCAGGGATTTCAGGAAGGAGGTGGGGCAGCCGCAGGTGGCGGGTGTGAGCACACTTCAGGGAACTGGGAGGACCAGAGCTGGGAACTAGCCTTGCTGGAGAGGCTTCTGGCCAGTGGTCTTGGAGTAGCAGGAGGAACTGGAGCCTGGTCCAGCCCCAATGGGGTGCACTTAGGCTTAAACACTGGCGCCAGCAGCCGCCAGAAGCAGGATATTAGGTGTGACAGGATGTTCAGGCCCATATTTAAAGTCCCCCCCCCCCAGTAGCAGCCACTGGGTCTGCAGTTCCGGCAGCCTGGGGGAGTGGGCAGGGGACTCCCCATTGGGTTTGCAGGGTGGTGGGGCAGGGGAGCAGACTCTGGATGCCCAGGAGACCTTTTGTGCGAGTGCTCTGAGCTGGCGTGACCCATCTCAGCTCCCTAGCCCCTTCCCTTGAATCCATTGCCCATAGGACCTGGACACTGGTACTGGCCCCCCTTACCTGGCAGGTGGGGTTGGCTGAGAGGATGCAGGGGAATCCCAGAAACCTATAAACCTGCTTGTGTGTGTAAAGTCACATTGTAACTACTGAGTGGGCCCAGGGCCATTTTGTTTCCTTCCTGTGCTGTTCCATGTGCTCTGTGGCTTTTGGGATCATCTGTTCTGGCTACTTGGCCTGGGCTCCACCCCTCTGCTCCTGAGGGCACCTAGTGGGCAAGCACAGGGATAGTGGCACCTGAGCAGACGTGACTGGTGCAGACGCAGGGACTGCTCAGCCCCACAGGGGGCTTGGTCTGGGTGCCTCCACCCCACCACCCCCCGTCCCTTCTGATGACGTGCCTTCACCTTGTCTTTTCTCTCCCCCCCGGCACAGATCCTGGCCAATGTCTTCCTCTACCTGTGTGCCATCATCGTGGGCATCAAGTCCTACTACATGGCGGACCGCAAGCACCGCAAGGCCTTCCTGGAGGCTCGCCAGTCGCTGGAAGTGAAGATGAACTTGGAGGAGCAGAGCCAGCAGCAGGTGAGCTGTGGGTCACTAGCAGCTTTTTTTTTTTGTAAAGATTTATTTATTTATTTGTTTGCTTGTTTATATAAGAACTGGGGTACAGGCCAGATGTGTGGGAAGGTGAGAGGATTCCACCAGAGCCAGAGCAGGGAACAGAACAGGCAGACTGACTGAAATGCACTGCTGAGGGGAGCAGCCGGCGAGACAGGAGAGGTCTGCTGCGCCATGGGGGACCCTTGCTGGCAAGCTGGGATTGAACCGGCGCTGCAGAGCCTGCAGACAGCTTCACAGCGTGGTACTCAACCTCCTGCGCCACCAGGGGAGGCCCACTAGCAGCTTTTTGGGGCTATTCTTGGGGCAGTCGGGCAGAAGCCTCATTTCAGGGACCATGACTGGGACAGGGGGTCCCGTTTGGAGGGTGTGAGTCCAGTGTGGTGCAGGGGCCCAGGGGCCCTGTGGGGCTTGGAGTTCAGCGGCCGGGGTCACGTGTTTGCTGGCTGACATGGCCTCATTGGCCCCTTGCTGGCAGAGGCGTCCTCCTGACTTCTGGAAGCTTCTCTCGCTGGAAACTCCTAAATCTCCTATGGGCTTGACCTAAACCTTCCCTCTCGCTTCTTTCTGTTCTATTTTTTTTCCTGTAATTTACAACTTTTTAAAGAACTGCATTGCCCAAGCAGCCCCAGTGACTCTGTGCTCCTTTCTCGGTGGATGCACCTCTGCTTCTTTCCTTCCAGGCTATTCCTCCTGCCTCCCTCCTGCCTCCCAGCAGAGTCACACTGCTGCCTACTGTGTGCTCAGAGCTGCGCTCACTGTGTTGGGGAAGGGCAGCCCCTGGCCTCGGGGGTCCTCTGGGTGAAGTCCATCGGCCCCACACTCACCACCCAGGGGTGCTAAGTCTCCTTCATTCTCCAGGCAATCTCCCCACTCTGCCGGCCTTCCAAGTCATTTATGAAGAAGTAAAAGCCAGCCCTTTCCCCAGGGACCCCACTGTTTACATTTTTCCATCTTGAGAAGGGCCTGGCAGTTCCCACTCTGTGTACTGGCTTCCCTCCAGCCTGAGCCACCACAGAACCTCCCAGTTCATGTGACTCGGTCTTTTAAATAGTTTTTGGTCTGAATTCATCCTGAATCCTTTTGAAGGTCTCTAGAAATTACGTCCACTGACTTCCTGTTATCCATAGGTTTATTTCCTGTTAACAAACAAACCCGTTAGCTTGAAGGCATCGTTCTCCGCTCTTGGAACCAGGCCGTTCTGTGCTCAGGGGGGCTGTTTGCTCTGGGTTCGCTGAAATTCCTGTTTCCATAGATTCTGCCCCTGGGGGATGGGGCTGTAGTTTTGGGGAGTCATTCTGGAGCCCTCGGTGAAGGTGGTGGGGAGTCCATGGTTGGGCCTCTCGTTCTCTATCTAGGGCTGTTTGAAGACACGCACTCAGTTACTCAGGATGCATCCTGGCCTCCCTGCCCCGGAGCTGTTTTTTTTCCCTTTATTTGTCAATGAGATTTAAAAGCTTCTGAGCTGGGCCTTGGGCTCTTTCAGAAAGTGGGTCTGGAAGGGGAGCCTCCCTGGCCCCCACGCATGCATCACAGCCCATCTGTTCATCCACTTCTCCCCGGGCCAGCATCCCGCGCCACCGAGGAGCTACTGCCGCTTAAATGTCAAGAATCCCACCTTCCTGCCGTTACAGAGCTCCTTGAAAGGCGTCGTTTGATTTCTGGTTTTTACGCTGCCTGTTTCTTGTTTGCATCTGATCTCATACTGTGGAGAAAGCCCTCCAGATTCTCTGAGTCTAAACAAAAAATGCATGTCACCGTTTAGCAAGGCAGGGAGTTCCCTTTCATACAGTGTCCACGCAGGGTCCAGCGTCTGTCTGTGTCGGCCTTGCCTGTCTCGGCGTGTAACCCAGGACATTTCAGTCCCATTGAACGGTGCTCGGCGGGGCCTCCTGGTGTGCTAAACAAGCTCTGGGGTTTCACTCTGGATAAGCTAGTTGTGTGTCTGTTCCTTCAAGCCTTGCCCTCCTTGTCTGTAATGGGGGGGTGGGGGGGTTGGTACTTTATAATGACGTGTTGAAATCCAAAGTGAAAGTATCCATACTAGTCTTGCAGGGTTCCCCGAGGGCCCGGTGAGAAACCCAGCCGGAAGGGTCTTGTAACCTGTAGAGCCTGGGAACGGTGATGTTCAGGCCTTAGCACATGGGCTCTGAGGCCTGTTTTCTATGGCTCAGCACCAGGTGCTCCCTAGGGGCAGGGTTGGTGCAGGAGAGCTGGGCTTAACAGGTTTGGGGGGGGGGGGGCGTGATGATGCCAGATTTAGGCAGTAATTTGAGAAGTGCTTCTTCCTTTCCAGTCCTTGGAGGAATTTAAGGAGGGTGTGGACTATTCTTTAAGTGAGACAAATTCACTGGTGCAGCCTCGTGGGTATGAAGTTGTCTTTACAGGAAGATTCAGTTCCCTTCACAGATACAAGTTTTGTATCCATACGTTTGGAAAGTGTTTTTCAGGAACTTGTTTCATTTCATCTAATCTTCAAATTTTTCAACATTATGCTCATCTCTTTTTTTAATCTTTTATTGTCTGTGGGATTTGTCATTAATAAGTGTTCCTTTGTTCATTCCTTAATGGTAATTTGTGCCATCTGTGTTTTATTTTTTCATCTGTCTTGCTACAGTAATAGCCTTTTCATTTTTATTGTCTTCTTCATACATTTCTATAATTAATTTACATTTTTACATTGTCATTGTCTATATTTGGGGTTAATTTGGTATTTGTTTTTCACTTCTTGAGCAGGAACTAAATAATTTTAATTTTTTTCTTACATTGTGCTTTCCATGCTGTAGATTTCCTTCATTACGTTACATTGCTTTAGCTTTAGTCTACAAGTTTTGTTATCGTATTTTGATTGCCATTTAGTTCAAAATATCTTAAATAAACAGTTTTAATAAATAGCTTAAATAAACAGCCCATTCTCTCCTTCTATTCGAGGACTCTAAATGTCTTTGACATTTTTACCAAGTTTTGTATAAATGTCTCCCTTTTTTTTTGAATCTTCCTTTTTTCCCTTTCTGAATGCTTCAAACCTAACATCCGGTTTACTAATCCCTTCTTTTGCTTTGTCAAATCAATGATTGAGCTTATCTTTATCTTTGGATCCTTAAATTCAGTTACTGTATTTATTTTTCCATTTGAGTGAAAGAGAGATTCCAGTGCTCTCGTTAAATTCTCCATTTGTCATCTGTTTTGGGGGAACATATTAAACATTTATTTTAAAGCCTTCTAGAATACTGATAAATCTCCTTTCTCAGTTGATTGCTGTTGTCTCCTGGCTTTTTAAAATTAAATGCTGGATATGAAGTATAGAAAATAATAGCAGCTCTGGATGATGTGTCTCTATTTACTTTTTTTTACAACAGATGGTTAGATTAGGGGAAGTGCACGTTGATCCGTGTGGAGTTGAGAAAGATTTAAGGCTGGGTTTTCACCTGAGAGCGGGTCTGTTTCTGTTCTGTGCCTTCTGTTAGGAAACAGGCCTCTGGGGCCTTAACTGAAAGGCTGGTCCTCTTCTTGAGGGACCTGAACTCCACACCATTATGGGAATTGTCCTTCACTTTTTGCTTCTTAGCTGTCACTTTTTGCCCAGATTTTCATTTCTTGCCCTTTGCAGCCTAGGGATTGACAAATGTCTCAAGGGGATCAGTGTAGAGAAAGCTGGACTTGCTTTTTTATGGCACTTTCTTCTCTAGGAGCTCAGCCTCCACTCCACTCCGCCTCGAAATCCTTCCTCACCAGCCCCTTGAAAGCTCTAGTCGTTGTTCTCTGGTCAACTTCTCAGTCCAGGTCTCCAGGGAAGGGCAGAGTATGTTGAGCTCATTCAAATGTGATTCCCTTCCCCTGGAGACCGTCTCCCCTCAAGTCCTAGCTGCTCCAGTTATTTCCCACTGCCTTCAAATGCCTATTCTTTTGTATTTTATCCAGTTTTTATAGTTGTTCTGCTGTAATAGCCTCTGTCATAGAAGCACAAATTGTGCCACACAGTGTGTGGACTCTGCCCAGTTCCAGAGCATTCTTATCACGCCTCGAAAAAACCTGGTCCCCAGACTTGATTTCTTTTTTTTGTGGGACCCTCGCTGGCCACCAGGGAAGGAACCGGCGGTGCACCGGCTGTGGGCAGCCTCGCAGCCCAGCGCTCAACCGCTGCGCCACCAGGGGAGGCCCCCAGACTTGATTTTTGAAACCAAGCAGAGAGGCCCCTGGTGTCAGCAGGGCCCAGCACAGGCCCCTGGTGGGACAGGGCCACAGGCCCGTCTTCATGGGTCCAGTCAGGACAGAGGTCACGCCTGCCCTGGACATTGGGACTGACATTGCCATTGTGATCCTGGCCTGGGCTCTGGCTGATTTACGTCAGCAGCTGTGTCTTTGGAGCAGAGCGCAGGCTGGTAGTAGAAGTCCAAATGCCTCTCACTCACCTTCCTTGCGCGAATAAAAGCGAAATAATGGGTGTGAAAACACTTTGGGCAAGGGCTGCAGAAAGTCCCAGCTGGAGAGGAAACGGAAGCTGCTTTGCTCGTGGCGCCTGTCTGAGGGGGCATTTGAGGTCTGGCCACCGGCACACACGGGGTTTAAATCCCACTTGAAAGTCCCAGTTAAAAACAATCATCCGTCTGTCCTTTGCAGGCTAGGCCTGCCCCCAGGATTTCGCTCTCAGGGTCTTTGTCTCACTTTTCAAGTGCTCGGGGTGTGGTTATCTCGTTTCCTGACCTGTCCTCCGTGTGCAGGGCGGTCCCGCCAGGTGGCTGCGGCCTCCGCGGGTCAGTGTCCTCCGGGCCCACCCGCAGCCGGGAGACAGATGCGGGTGAGCTGGCGTCAGGGGCCCCTTCCCTGATCTGTGGCCCGCTCTTTGCTGCTGTCACCTGGGAGGTGATATTACCAGCTTCTGGGGTTCCGTGGTTCCTGACTATGTCCATGAGAGAATTCAGAGCCGCGTCCAGGCAAAGCGAAGCAGAGCTGACTTAGCTGCT